CTCTGGCAAGATGTTCTACTCCTGAATCAGCTGGGTGGGTCTTGCCTCTAGCCTCTTTGCAGGGAGTTCTGCTGAAGGGTTCCTTGCTGGGCCTGCACTCTGGGTCGAATGAAGATCCGCGGGGCCTGGGTGGTCTCACTCATATGCCAGGCCTGTGCTCTGGGTCTATTCAGGATCCGCGGGCCCAGGGCAGTCTCACCCACTCACCAGGCCTACGTTCTGGGTCTATTCAGGATCCGTGGGCCCCGGTTCGTCTCCAATGGTTTTATTTTTAAAAGATGGGATTTAAAGGAAAGATTCTTCCCAGGACTAGCATTCTCCCTTCCCTGCTGGAACTACTATTTATTAAAGATTAATTTGAGTCACTAGGCAAATACCTTAGATTGACTAAGAGCAGTAAGCAAGAGTGATCCTCACAACTTAATGCTGATTGTCCCTAGCATGTGTTGCATCTACTTATTGTGAGCCAGGGGCTAAACTATAGACTTTCTTGAGTTAACTTATTTCATCTGTGCAGAAATCCTGTAAGGAAAGTTCAGAGATGTTCAGACACTTGTCCCATGTTGTGTGGTGATGACAAGGGATGACTCAATGAGACCCAGATGGGTTGCCCCGGGACTCGGGCCTCCAGCCCCTGTGCCGCAGTGCTCACCTGCGTCCCTGAAGATAGTTTGACATAATTTACTTTCCTTCTAACACCTAGCAGGGTTACCTTCCCAGGGTGGGACTGGAAACAAAGAGTTTGGGGATAAAGAAGGGGAGAGGTGGCTCTTAAATGATTGTAATGGGAAGTTTGGAAAGACTCCTGCGGTATTATTCTTTCTCTGTCAGAGATGTAACAGGAAGCATTTCTGTTTCCCCCAACTAGTATGCTTCACTTTCTTAGTTTCCCAGGTAGTAGTCCCTGTTGCAGTTCCAGTTGCTTCTGTCTCTTAGACACGGTTGGTCACCATCATGCATAGCTGGTCACTGTGATGGTGTTGTAAGACCCAGTTCCCACTTGACAAGCCATTCTGCCTTTGTACTTCCTGCTTGCTTGTCTCACAGGAGCCGTAGATCACCAGAGATCGAGGCCTGATATTCTGGGTATGATTCTGATCAGTGCCCATCAGTGTAAAAACATCTGTCTCCAAATGCTGCTTGCTGTTGCAGAGGTAGTAAGAAAAGAAACTCATTTGTAAGCATCGGGATGTGACTGACCTTGTGATGATTACGGTGACTCAGCCAAGGATCCAGGAAACGGTTTCCTTTTTCTTCTCCTTTATACCAACAACACTATTTTTTCTTTCCTTAACATTCCAGCACAGAAAGCTTCTATGTATGTCTGTGTATGTAAATGTAAGATACGTGAAACGTTTTACCTGTCAAGGATTTAAATGTCATTTAAATAGCATTTTGAAAATATTCTTGAAGTAAAGGCTGATGAAAAATAACCATTTTCTCTAATTACTCTTTTCTGCCTCACACAGTATTGGCTGGATCCTGCAAAAACCCTTGCCGAACACAAAGAGCTGATTAACAGTAGGTATTTGATTTTCATTTTGTTAAGGGCGTGCTTACTTGGGAGCAAATACAGGCTTTAGTCCTGGAGAAGTGCTTGCACCAGTGCTCCGGGGTGAGGCCTGCGAGTGGCTACTGGTGCGCACTGCAGGGCACTGTGTCTGTCTTAGGTAGACTCTGAGTGGATCTTAACACTGTGTTGACTTTGTCCTGGGGTGTACCTTCCCTTGACTTTGTCTGTGATTTTTTTCTATGTTTGTCTCTAAAATTTGACCTTAAGGACATATAGAAAAGGCAAAGGGGCATTTATTTGAAAATGAGGTGATAGGTTGTGGAGTGGTTTTTATTATTATTATTATTTATTTATTTATTTTTTTTTTGCGGAACTGGGGATTGAACTCAGGCACTTCCGCTTGCCAGGTAAGCACTTATTCTACTGAGCTATCTCCCTGGCCATTGGTTTTATTATTCATACCACTCAGTTGACTGTCCAGCAATTGAGGGATGCTCTTGTGACCTGCAAAATACCACAGCTCTAGAGGGAGGCCATCCATTTTTAGGGGTTAGCTTTTTGTTTTGTCAATGTGAATATTACTAGGGCACTCAGTGTAATTGTGTATTACTTAATCTTAATTTCCATAATCAAAATGTACTTGTAAACATATCCACACAAAGGAAAATAGTCCTTTAATTTTTTGGCTGTGTTGGGAATGTACCTTAGTGACTGAGTACTTGCCTAGCTAGCATGCACTAAGTCCTGGGTTCAAGCCCTAGTACCGGGACAAAAGAAACACAGGATAATGTTTTTTAAGTTGTGGTAAAATTATACATAATATAAAATTTACTGTTTTAATGATTTTTATCTACAATGCAGTGGAATTAAGCTCACGTTGTTAGCTACGTGCAGTGGTACCTACCTGTAATCTCAGCACTGAGGGAGGCTGAGGCAAGAGGATTGCAGGTTTGAGTCCCACCTGGGCAACTCAGCATAGACTCTGTCTTAAAATTCAGAATTAAAGGGAAAAACAATGGCTGGAGATGTTGCTCCGTGCTAGAGTTCAATCCCCAATACTAGGGGTGAGGGGAACAGAACCTTCTCCAAAGCACTCATTCATGTTGTCATGCAACCATCGTCAGTGTCTAGCTCCAAAACTTTCTCATCGTTTCAAACTGAAATTCTGCTCATTAAAGCAGTTATGCAGATTGGTGTGAATTATTCAAACAGCACTTAGTGAGTTCTGGATCTCGTATCTCACCTGTGTACTTGCCGTGTGTGGCCGCCAGGGTTGTGTGGTGCTTTGTGTCCAAGGGTAGGAGCACTGGGGCCACCAGAATGGGAGGGCAGCCACCGCGGCTGCGCTGCACTTGAGTGCTGTTTCTTTGACCTCAGCATCACTTTGCTTCTCTGCTTCTCCACCACTATGGTGGAGACCCCTGGAGCTCACAAGTTACACCTTGGGCCCAGTTGAACAAATGGAAAAACCAGTTGGAAAATGGGAAAAATTTCAGAAATGATTATTTAAAAATAAACTCACAGGTTTCTGTTATAAGAAAAGAGTTGAAATTTCAGTTGAGACGATGAAGAAACATGTAAGTTCTCTGAAGGTGTGTTGTCTTTCTGAACACGAAGTGTCGATATCATATAAAATATTCTACTTAAATATCATTATAAAAGGAAATCAATTTTTGGTCCTAAAAATGTAATGTTATGACAAATGGACATTAAGAATAAAATATAATTGCAATTGAAGAAATATGTCATTGAAGAACACATATTTTATCTCATGTAATTTGATAATAGGTGAAGAAAAATGGGATCAAATCACCAGTAGAGAACTCAGAAGGAATATCTAAAATTGCAGAACATGCGTTGACCCCAAGGGTTCTCATAGTTTTGAAGTATCCATCCCTAAGCCAATTGAAAATTCCTTATTATCCTTAGAGGCCCACAACTAGTCTTCACCAAAAGTAGATTAGGAGAGTCCCAGTTTCTGGCTTCTTTCTTTTCTCTAAATTTCAAAAAAATCTTTTATTGATTTATTTGGTACAGGGTCCAGCTACACAGCTCAGATTCGTAGTGATCCTCTTGTCTCAGCTCTCCAACACTGAGATTTTGGGCATGTTCATGGCATGTGGTACCAAGATTGAACCCAGGTCCTTGTGCTTGCCTGGCAGGCTCTTAGACTGCCAAGCTATCTCTCCAGCCCGCTTTTTTTCCTTTTCTAAAGTTAAATAATCTTAGCTTCACTTCACACAAAGTTTCTTAGATGTTGAGTCTGTGGGTTAAGATAATAATCTGAGTTTTTTCTTCATCACCACTGATTTTTATGTTTAGTCTTGAAATAGGAAGCCAAAAAATATGTGGGTAATCTTATTCTTGCCGGAAAATGATAACTTCAGTAGCCTTTGGTCTGTCTACTAAACAGTGACAGGAGAGCATGTGTTCACTCCAAAGGCCTTAGAGTTTTGCTTCTCCCTGTGAGGAAGCTGTATAAATTAGTGGCCAAAGGACACAGCACTAGGTATTGGCAAACTTGATTTTCATCTCGGAGGTTTTAGTAGATTGCTTAGCTTCTTGGAGCCCTACTTGGCTTGCTTCTGCTACCAGGTTGTTGTGGGACTCAGATGCTCATGTAACATTTTTGTACCTTATCAGGTGCAATCAGATGGGAATGATGCCTTGTATTTAGGACACAAGCCCCCTTGTATGTGAATGGGAAATGGCTAAATTGGGTCAAGAGTCCTGAAAGAAAATCAGCTCAAATTGAGTGTTTTTCAAACTTCTACTTAACTGTTCATCACTAAACACAGTTGACAGGGCTGTGCTTGGTAAATAGAGTGTGATCTGTCATGTTCCAGAGAATAGAAGAAGCTTTGGGGTCTGGAGAAGGCCTCTTTCCTTTGCAGAGAGTCTCCATAGCATCTGTGTGCCCTCCACCCCAGGTGCCCACTTCACTGCCGGCGGGCACAGGCAGACCCATCTGCTCAGGAACAGAGCTTGACTGACAGTCAGATCAGCAGCGAGGACTTCTTGGCTCTTCTAAATATTTGATAGTCTTCCCTGCCTGACATCTTCATTCAGGGATACAAACACAATGGTTAAGGAAACATAAAAATCAAACAGATAGAATCTGTTCTAATGAAAATAAATTAGAGCAAAGTTTTAAAGTGTTTGCTTTTTAAAAGCTGTAGTATAAGAAGTGCTAGATGAGGGAGAAGGATGGTCCTGGTCTTGATTTTATCATTCATATGCTGGAAATCAAGCATTGGGATATTATAAACATAAGCATGTATAAGTAATAATTATGACATAGTTTGCATAACTGCATTATTATCTTTATTGCTTTATTTCATTTCCCCACTTTCTAAATTTATAACTTTATTGCTCGGTTAAAAATAGGAATTGAGGGCTGGAGATACAGCTTTGCAGCATAGTGCCTGCCTTCGAAGCATGAGGTCCTGAGTTTGATTCCTGATACCCAGCCCCCCAAATTGCAGATATAACTGCCATTTGGTGTACCACCTAAAAAGTCTGTTTCAAAAGAAGTGTAACAGATGTAGTTAGTGCCTGACTTGGAAGTATTCAGTTTTTTTGAAAATAATGCACAGCAGATTCACACCCCTTGGAATGGAACTGTTTCTAGTGAAGAGTAATATAATATAGTTCCCCTGAAAGGGACTTTTATCCTCCTGCACAATATGAATGCTTTTCATATTTGCCCACGTGTGGACAACTCCAGGCTTTGTTTCTGATTTTGGTTTTGTTTTGCTTTTGTTATCTGCAGACTTAATTTTTCTGTGTGTAGTATAATGAGATGAGAAATTTCTTCTTCCACATATAAGAATTCAGTTTTATATTCAGAAAAGGTAAAGAATGAAACAAATAATTGGCCTTAATCCTATCACATAGCCTCACTAATGATTTTTTTTAAGAAGATACATATGATAGGAACATTCCAAATATTGCTGCTCCTTGTAATTTCTATGTTATTCTTCTAGGAAAAAAAAACATAGATTAGCTGATTTTTTTTTCACCAAAGGAATCATATTTCTTGTACTTTGGATTATAGATCGATGATCTTTTCCCCTTCAGCACCTAGCAGTCTTCTGTTTAAATAGCATATGTCCTATGGTTGTGGTTGGCTAAGATTTCCACCTGCTGCTGAGAATTTCCTTCTAGCTTTTTGCAGAGATGTACTTTTTTATTTGATAGTTGAAGTGGTAGGTGGATGGTTTATAAAATCATTAATTTTGTTAATTGACACTCTTTATGAAAAAAGTATCATGTATTGTAATGACAAAAATATAAATTCTTAAAATTATGCATAGCTTCATTAACCAGACAAGATCCAGTAGCATTGTAGTGTGCTAGGCCTTGTTAATTTTCTGTTAATTTGTACATACATATAAATTTGCACACACATGCATTCACATGTTGTTGAAATTTTACTGTCAGTGGTTTCAAGCGCTGTTTTTTCCATTTTGTTTTCTTGTGTCTTGTGAAGTTCTTACTGTAATTCTTAATATTTTTAATCTGATACTACCTTGAATATAATGTAAAATTTAGTTAATTCCTATTTCTTATTTTAGCTGGACCTCCATATACTCTGTATTTTGGTATTAAATTCTATGCTGAAGATCCATGTAAACTGAAAGAAGAAATAACCAGGTACAGTGTTGACTTTTTAAATAGATACATGTATGGTATGTGTAAAATGCTTTTTTGAAAACAAACTAAAATTGATGTCAACCATTCAGATGTGTGTGTGTGTGTGTGTGCACCTATCTCCTGTGAGGATTAAATTTATACTAGCATTGCATGAGGCAGATTGGAATCTGATGATAGATGTGCTTGAGGGCTGGGGAGATAGCTCAGTGGCATAAGCGCCTGCCTAGCAAGCACAAAGTCCCAAGTTTGATCCCTGGTACCAAAAAAAAAAAAAAAAAAAAAAAGATAGATGCGCTTGAAGGATGGCATGAGCCTGGGGGACAGGATGGTAGTTTTTATATCTGTTCTGATGGGCTAGTCTGTATCATTACTATTAAGCATGCATTCTGCTTTTGTGTATTTATATATAAAGTCACTTGAGTTACCTAAAGCCCAGTTTGCATATGTAAATACAAATTTGAAGACCCATTTATTTCCTTTTAATTACTTGTAGGTAAAATATAAGCTATTCAGATATTTCATCTCTCCAGAAAATGAAAAGATAATTACCTTTAGTTCTAAGAAGGGTGATGAAAGTCCAGTGTTTTAATGAATTCACTTTTGTCACCAAATATTTTATTTCACTTAAGGCAAAATAGCTAATTGATATTGATTAGGTGGGAAGAATAGTTCATGCCAACATTTGAAAGTGACTTTAAAGAGCAGACAGTGGTATTGTGCTGGAACTATTTCATGATCAGTGAACCAGCTGCATGTGGCAGCAAAAGCAAAAGCATTTTCCCTAAATAAGCAATCAGTTTTTCAGTGAAACTTTATCATGGGCTCAAATAAAGCCGAATGCATTACTTTGAGATGGTATCTTTGATAAGTAAGTTAACCCGTGGTTTTGTTTCTATTCTACCCTTTTGCTGTTCTTCTTAGACTTTCTTTTAGCTTGCACACAGAAGAGTGAGAGGAGAGCAGGCTGATCAGACCTTTTGCATCCAAGGCTGAAGGAGAGGCCTCGTTTTTTCAGAAACTTATAGATCTCTGCACTAACACCTTTTATCATCACATTGTTAATGAGCGCTTTGGAAAACAGGATGCCCATTGAGATTTTCTCAGTGTATGCCTCTTTGGGAGAAGGGCCATTGGGGTGGGCAGGGTATGTCAGAGACTTGTGGTATTTACCATAGAATTTCATGGGGTAGACTGAATGCAAATGGTACTTTGATATCCTTAAATCATGAGAGAATTAGAAAGGAATAGTTTGTTAAAATTAGTTTGTTGAAATACAGTCCATTATGTTGAGGTTTTCGGTAACCTCTCTGTGCCTCACTTTCCTCAGTTGTAAAATTCAAGAGGTTGGGCCAAGGAGATAGCTCAGTAGAATAAGCGCTTGCCTGGCAAGTGCAAGGTCCTGAGTTCAATCCTCAGTACTGAAAAAAAAAAAAAAATTGAAGAGATCCCTGTCTCACAAAGTTCTTTTAAGCCTTAGCTGGAATAATATATTTCAAGCTTTTGCAGTTGTGTTTGACTCATTGTTAAGTGCTGGGCAAATGTTAATACTTTCTATTTCATTCTGTTTTTGTCCTGCCAAATATAGCATGGAATTATATTTTAAATAGGGTTAGGTTTAAAAAATATTTGAATTAGTTTTGAAAAGGGAGGACAAAGTGTTTCTTAATGCATTACTTTATCTCTGTTCACCACATATTAATATTGAACAGAAATTTCCCTATAGAATGTACTAATGACTTGTTAACAAAATAAATGGATTTGCATGTAGTGGTCCATTAAGAACCAGATCACGTAGTTGGCTTATAAATGTTGACCATGATTTATCATATATTTTTGGTCTAAAGTCTGTAGCTGAACTGAGGTTAGTTAAATGTGCATTTAATGTGGTATCAGTTGCTACTAGTGATGAAAAATAAAGAAATTGATTTCCATAAATTCATTAATTTGAATGGCCAACCATATGGATTTTGAAAAGCAAGTCAGTTGCATGAGATTATTTTGACAAAAACTAAAAGTGGGAAAGGAAGATTCTCCAATATATGCTGGTAAAAGTATACTTAGACCAACATTTTCAAGTTAAATGTTTAATTCAGTTGTTTAGAGAATTATTCAAGCTTATTCTGTATTGACTTTTATTTGTAATTTTTTGACATGAAATATATACAGTGAACTTGCTTGTATGTATATAGATTTTTTTAAAAAAAGATATCATGTAGGAACTTCTTTTACTATCTAACTCATTCTTTTCACTCTTACATAATATTACTTACCTATGCCCTGGTGGATGGCTATCCAGGTTGTTTCCTTTTCTTTTGTCTTTTAAAAATTTAGTTATAAATAATGCTGCAGTGAAGCTTCTCATGTGCGTGTATGATCATTTCAGATACAGCATTCCAAAAGGATGTGGTACCTAAGGAAAAAAAGAGAGACATTAATGAGATACCCAGGAAGATAGGTTCAGATTATAAGAACTAATATAGGATCGTAGTTACTCTTGAGTCCCTGCCCTATTTCAGAAAAAAAATATTTTCTGAAATAAATGAAGCTGAAGGATTCTGATATCATAGATGCTAACCCCTACCTTTGACATATCAGGCAGTTACTTTTTAAACGTTTTTTGTGGACAAAATTTTATAGCCTTGAAAAACAGTAAGACATTCAATTGGAAATGAGTAATGCTTGAAACTTTTATTATTACTACTAGGTTTTCTTTCTAGTTCTATTCAGAATAAATCTATTACCTTTCATCATTAGTCCTTTAATTTATGTCCTCATGAGATCTGTGAAATTTCTTTTCAGTTCTAATTCAGATGTTTTTATATCCTTCCATGTATTGTGTTATTTACACCACTCTGTGTCCTGAGCTGGTCCAGTGTCTTTAACACATGTCAGCTAAGGCAGCAGGTTTTAGAATCAAGCAAATGAACTTTGTATCCTTGATCTGTCACTCTGTAGCTAGGTAATTGTGAGAAGATAATATAACCTTTTAAAGATGCCAGTTTTCTCCTGTACATAATGGAATTATAGCATGTCTTCAAAAAGATGCCTGGAGGCTTATATAAAATAACAAACCCAAAGTGCCTACCATAAAGTGCAAACTCTGTGTTTCATAGATAGTAAGTACAGTGAAAATAGAAATAAATAATAAGATTGAAATAAATCACAAAAATTCTTATATACAAATATAAAGTATATAAAATGGAAATAAATGGCAAAAATGGAAATATATAAAACATTTAAAATATAAAATAGCTTTAGGAGTGCTGTGTCAAGGAGGTCCACGGATGCCGGCCTGGGAGCTGGATTTATTGAATTCTCCTTCATGTGACCTTGGCAACCAATAAAGACTGCTGGTGCTAGAAAGAATTGATTTATTTAAAAAATATATTTATGAAAATACAAACATTTTATATTTTGCAAATTATTGGGAAAAGACCAATATGGAACCTGAGATAGGTCTTGAGGTTTAAGTCAGAACTTTCCGGGTACAGGTGTTCATTTAACTGTGACTCATCATGGTGCTGCCCTCCAGCCTACATTTCCGAATTTTCCTGTCCAGCCTGCACTCACTCACTCACTCACTCTTGCACTCTCGAACTCTTTTCCATTCCTGAACTCTGCAGATCACTGTGTTCCCTGGTCAGGAAGCGGTCCAGTTTCCTTGCTCAAGAAGAGAGAATCTGACACCTCCCTGCTGATCTCCCTACCTGCAATGCCACTGGCATTTTGTTGAACTTGTATGCATCTAACAACTTTTTCTGTAAAAGAAAATGTGACTTTCAAATGTCTTATCAATGACCTTTTTTCAGTTTCTGAAAAGAGGTTCTGTATTTGACGTTTTTAGTTTTTGTAACATGTTATAACTTTCTGTTGGAGAGTGATAGCAAGTCCACTCATCACAACTGTCATTCATTTTGTAAACCATAATTTCTCCTGTGTGAAGATAGCTTGATCTAGCTTCTTTACTAGCTAAGTGACATCCATCATATATGTACTTCCTGAGGCATCGTCACCTCCTTTCAGTGAAGGAAGAAGTCCTTATCTACCTCAGAGCACAGGTGAGGGCCACATGCCAGTAGGAACACAGAAGAGATCTGTAAACTTTAAAGGGCTGTGTAAGGCTAAGGGCCCTGAACAACATGTTCATCCTTGTTTTCAGTTCAGCTTCTTTTAACAAATACCAGATAAATAGAAAACCATGAGGGCAGTGTTTCAAGTCTGCCATTTGTGTTGTGCTGATTGTAGTACTGGTTTAAATTGGAAAGGGTGGAAGATCACGGGCCTCTCCATTCTCATGAACTAGTTTGGGAGACAGTGTGTGTGCCTCAGTATTTGAATCTCCCCAAGAAAGGAAGCAAATACTGCTCTATGAAGCCTCTTCTTTCCACCATAATGTGTTCTGGAAACTGTTTTATTAAGCAGATCTCCTTGATTTAGCAATATAACCAGGGTCACAGTGTAATTAATTGTCCAAATGCTGACATTTTAAAGAATGATGAGCAGAGTTACTTATAATCTCACCTCTCTAACAGGCTTAAACTAGACGGAACTGTCCTAGGTAAATTGGGTATAGGTTCGCCCTAATTAAAATGAGAGACACAGATGCAGCTGTTCATAGCTTTACTCAGAATGACATAAAAAGACCCAGCAACTTTCAATCTAGGTTGTCCATAAAATAGACAAAATACATTATCCATAGCTTGAGAAGGTAAGACGACAGGATAGTGATGAGTTTCAGGCTAGCCTGGACTGTGCAGCAAGATCCTGTCTGGGGAAAAAAAAAAAAACAAAAAAAAAAACAAAAAACAAAACAAAAAAAAACCCAGAGCAATTGTGAGCTGTCTTTCTTCCTATAAGTTTGTCTTATAGGAAATCAAATAGAGTAGCACAAATAATCATATTCTTAATTAAAACCATTGTGCTTGCATTTTTCAGTTTCTTAAGGCTCTCTGGTAACTTTAAAAGACCAACTGCTCAGGAAAGTTAGAAGAAATATCCTTTTTTCTCCTTGTATTCCTCAAATATTGCAGACACTTGCAGCTGTACACCCATCAGTCAGACCACCTATTTAATGAGCACTAGTATGCGCGGCGCCCCAGATATGCCAATGGGACCTGGGTATGGGTACTTGGTATCTGGTGTGTTATAGGTGTGTTTTTCTCTCTCCTTTCTCTTCCCCTTTATCCTCAGGGCAAGTACCTGTGGGATTAGGTCTTTCTGTGTTTGTGCTTTGCTGGGGTTTTAATTATCTAGTCAAATGTTATCAAAGTCTTAATAGAGGAAGATGAATAGCAAGTGTGACTCAGTTCTTAAGAACGTGAACTTAAGGACAGGACAATTAAATGTTCTAAAGAGACGGAGGGTGTAGCAAACATAAATTTTCAGCAAGTAGAGGTAATTTTAGCCAATGTCTCTGGTTTATAAAGTTTTGTTCTTAAATTCTAATACCATCTTACACTTGTTTGTCCACCTAAGAGGAGCACAAACTGTTGTTGAAAAGTGGATTTGACAGGGCTGGAGATTTGGCTCAGTGGTAGAATGCATGCCTGGCAAGCTGGAAGTCCTGGGTTTGGTTCTCAGCACCAAAAACAAAACAAAATAAAAAAAGTGTATTTGATATATTGGGTGAGCAGTCAGGGAATAGAAAGTGTTAAGTAGGGTTAGAAAAAGGAGTACAAATTAGGGAGGGAGGGCATGGAGGTGACCCGGTCTGTGGCACGAGATTTACATGATGAAGTAAGCAGAGATCTTACCAGCTATCTTAAAGCTACCTTCAGCTTTATTCTGAAGGCCCAGGGGAGTTTTTAAAAATATTTTTAATCAAAACATGACACCATCCTATTTACCCCTGGAGTCACGTTTACCTCCTAGGAAGACTGGAAGGGAGGAGTATGGCTGATGGCAGCCTGGCCGATAGGCCTTAGAAATCTGAAGGACAGTGACCCAAGCTAGGGGTTGGCGAGGAGTGCACTGCTTTCAGAACACGTGTGTTGGGGATGGAGGGTGGCAGAGAACACCCCAGGTTTCCCTGTCACAGATGTTTGAGAAATTGTACTGCGGTGCCATTTCCTGAGATGGGCAGTGGGGAAACAGGGCATCAAGCAGGTTTTCACTAAAGCCTGTCATTGTAATCAAAGAGTATGAGTCTTTTGACAGTTAACCGGTGTACCATCTAATCTAGATTCTTTCAGCAAGGACTTGGGTTGTGGGCAGTTGGAAAAGTAATACTTACCACAGCAGATGTTTATAATTCACTTCTAGCTTTTCTCCACCCTCCCAAAGGCATCAAGAATCACCCTGCAAAAGGGAGTGAAATCACAAAACGCCCAAAATGTGTGAACGTGAGTGTGCACGGGCATGAGTATGAACAATGGGTGAGAGTGTCAGGCCCATGACTCAGTGTGTCGGCTCACCCCTTCCTCCCCTCTCAGCCCACTGGCAGAAGGACTGAAAAAGAAAAATTGTAAAGCTATTCAGAGTTGCACAGCCTTCTGCTTGGATTCCAGTTCTGGAACTGTCGTTCAGCTCCTTGCTAGATCTTGGCCAACTTACTTTAGTCCTTTAGGCCTACATGTTTCTTTGTCTGCAGAGCTGAGGTATAGCACCAACCTCATTTTATAAGTTTTGCCTGAGTGGTTGTACATCAAGTCCTTAGGATGAGTTATACTATTTACAATGTTTAGAGCAGTTCTTGGTACTGTAATTACAACAGATTTTCTTTTGGCAGCATGGAATGAGCAAGACTGCAGATAATGAGCAGGGTCTTAATAAGTAGGGGGATTGACAGAATTATACTACAATAACTTCTTTGTCTGTACACATAATTTTGGGCCTTGTAGATAACACCTGTGCTATAGGCGGGGTCCTTGTGATTTGTTCCTCCCAGTAAGAGCAGAGGCACCAATGAAAATGGTCAGTGCTTTTTATCCAGCGGTGACGTCTCCCTGTGAGGTGGGTACTGTCACTGTCCCACTCTTACATGTGATGAGAGTAGCTGTTGGGATGAGCAGCTGCCCACCATGGCTGGTAGTGAATAGCAGAGCTGGGAAGCAAGCCAGGCTGCCTGCTGAGGGAGGCTGGACCCTGAGGGAGGCTGGACTCTGCAGCCACCAGCCCCTCACAGGAGGGTGGAATGTGGCTTTGTTTCCACCCCTGGTCTTTAGTGTTGGCCTTGCTGATCAGGGCCTGAAAGTTCCAGTTGGAGTAGTGTAAGAGATCGTTAATCTCTCTTCTCCATTTCTCTTTTAGATATCAGTTTTTCTTGCAGGTGAAGCAAGACGTCCTTCAGGGCCGGCTGCCCTGCTCGGCCAACACTGCTGCTCAGCTGGGAGCATACGCCGTCCAGTGTAGGTTCCGCTCAAGTGTCTTTGCGCAGAAGGGCTCAGAATTCTCTTTTCTGTGCAAGTTTATATTTTAAACTCTTTTATCAAGTGACATTTTGTAAGGAGAAAAAAAACGAATTGTGTCACAATTTACATTTAACGAGTGTGCTAATAGAAGTAAAAATGGAGCCTGTTATGTTTCTCTTGGAGTAGGTTGTGTGGACTTTTAGTTGCATTGATTCTCAAGTAGGTGAAGGTTCTAAAAATCTCTTCCCTGGAGTTCAGCGATTCTACCCCCCGCTGCCCCTGCTGGCCAAGTGATTATGTCTCAGAGATCACGTTGCTTCTGGGCAGCTGCTGTGAAGATTCCACGAGGTCCAGAGCCAGCACCGAGCTCAGGTCGGCTCGCGTTGGTTGCACCGGGCACGGCAGCAGCTCTTTGCATCAATCTGGCAGCAGTGTGGGGTGGCTCAGGGTAGTTCTGCCTTTTTGGAGACTCGGGCTAAGATTATTTCTACTAATATAATTGAAGACCTTTTACAAATAACACTAGGTTTGAGGGAAATGAGACAGCATGGTCCTTGCCCTTGGGACACCTGTACATATATAGATAGATAGGTATAGATTTAGATATAGATATAGATATCTCCTAGGAAAATGTCGAGTGTATGTTCTGGGTTAAGGGTTGAAAGGTAGATTAAATATAGGGACAATGATTTTATAGGAGTAATATAGTGAGTTTTCTGGTTTCATTTTGTTTGCTTTGTAGAATATAAGCAGATACTGTTTCCTTTGTAAACTATAATCAGAATTGAGTTGTTCCCATGACCGTTTTTGGGGTCATCGATGTTCAGAATCACATACTCTCTCAGTGTCATTGTCAAAGAGGATTTATTGGGGTCAACTTCAACATTTCTTTTTCTTCTTCTTTTTTTTTTCCTGCAAAGCTTTATTCCAGAGGGACTCAGTCCTTGGCAGCTGCCTTCCTCATGGCAGCCAGCACGTTGCTCAGCTCCTCATGCTTCCTCTTGGCACGGATGTGCATCCCCACCCTTTTCTTGATGAACTTTAGGGCACATTTGTCCTTGGAGACCTTGAGCAGCTCCATGGTGCGCTGCTTTTAGGGGGAGAAGCCACACACCTCCCGGATCATGTTCCGCATGAATTTGGTGTGTTTGGTGAGGCATCCACGATGGCGGTTGGGCCTCAGTTTGCTCACCTTCTTAGTCACCTTGTGGCCCTTGTTGAGGCCCATGGCCATGGGCTAGCGGAGGGCCATGGCTACTGCTCTTCAGTGGCTGCTGTGGCGGAATGTACCCTAACTTCTGTTTACAGCCTTTTATTTCATGTAAACTAAGAATGATTGAAATCAAAGTGGTGACAGAGTCTTTGGGAAAGCTGAAATAAGAGATTTTCATTTTAAATGAAGATTTTTTATTTATACCTTCCTTATATATTCAGAGTTGCAGTAGTACAATTATTCAGGAATTGTAGAAATGTATTAATAAAACACTTGAAAAATGTTCAGACATGATAGGGATATTTGGTCCTGTATTTCAAAATACTTTCTTAAAATAGAATAAAATTGCAATTTCTTTTCTTTTGCTCAGCGGAACTCGGAGATTATGACCCATATAAGCACACTGCGGGATACGTGTCAGAGTACCGGTTTGTTCCTGATCAGAAGGAAGAACTTGAAGAAGCCATAGAAAGGATCCATAAAACACTAATGTAGGAGGCATGCCTTCCGTGGCATCATCAGTTATCATTTTAGGCTCTTGAAAACCAAGAAAGTTTCTAGAACAGTCAGTTCTTCACCTGTGTCTTAAATATTCCAGCTTTTTTCTTCTGTAGTTGTTTACTGAACATAACACTAAAATGCTCTTTGAAAACTCCAGCAATTTGAAAAAACTATAAAGGAGAAATAACTTAAAACCACCATATTTTTGGATAATGACCTCTCTGACCTTTCTGTGCATACATTTTTCCCCTGAGAAAATTTGTTTTGTATAGCTAGTACATAGATGCACTATGATTTTATATAAATGGGAGCAGTCTGTACATACTGTTTTACAATTTTTTTTCATTCCCTTGTGTCCATTGAAAAAAAATTAAAACTATGCATTTTATTTTTAGCTATTTAAAATAACCATAAATGCCTTAATGTGTTTTAGATTTGCTCTGTGTTAAGTATGTAGATTCTTCACAATTAGAGTCAAAGTCAATGTAGGCTGCAGCAGCCAATCTGGAAATCACAGCGACACTGGTGTGGAGTCTTGGAGAGCATTATGTTATCCCCGCACGCACTTCTGCGAGCAGACGTGCCCTCCTAGTAGGATTTTCAACTAATAGCCTGGAACCTTGAAGTTATAATTTAATTATAGTTATTTCAGTTAAATCCTCTCTCCTGACTAACTTTGCTTTCTTGCTTCTTATGTAGCATTCCCCCTTGAATATACTTGACTTCAGATCTGTTATATTTAAGGGGAAAAATGTAGACTTAATCTGCTAGACAGAAATGTTTGCCTGAAGGATCTGTGTGAGTGAGGAGATGCAGAAGTCGACTGCTGCATCGCAATCAGAGAAACCAGGCTCTCCGTCTTGTATTAGCATGCAGTGGGATGCTCTCCAGCCTGATTATAGACTCCTTCATTTTAAGGTTTTGCTGAAGTGGATGCTAAGAGGCTGCTGGTTATAATATCATGAAGGGCAGCATGCTTGGCACATTCTGAGAATACTAATTCCAGCTGGATTTTGAAATTACTCTGGAGCTTTCGGAAGGGGCCCTCTTATGTTTTGTGTGATAGTGTAGTCAGTGTGAGCATGCTTTCCCTAAGAAGAAAGTGTTAACAAAGGTTGGTGACTTTCTTGTGTCTAATTTGTGATGAGTATTCTTCATGAATGTTACAAGAAGGCTGTAGTGTGAGCTTTTCAGTGTGCCATGACTAAAACAAGGGAATGCCTTGGAGCAGGATTTCTTCATTTATAGACACTTACAACTCCTTTTGTTAATCATTCAAATCCGCCCTGTCCCTCAATTCATTTCTGGAAGATGTGCCCCATCATTAGGAATGAATACTCTTTTCTATATATTATGCCCAGTGAAGATTTCGGTAGTATTAAGAAAATAAAAGGCACTTTTACAAATTCTATATGATATATACATATTCTATATACAAATTCTTTATTTCTGAACTGCACCTGTGCTTTGGAGCTATTGCTGTGATGCCGATTCGGTGTCGGAGGCCTTGTTTCTGCCCCTGTGCTAGCTGCATTTGCTTCCGATGCAGAGCTACTGGTGCATGGAGACATTTGACTCTTTACAGAGTGTATGCTTTTTAATTTGTATGCTTATGTCCTCAGTAACCTCTTTGAAGGTTTTGAAACTGAAAGTTTTTAGTATGTGCTAGGGCACTCAGGAGAGCATATAATGAGCAAGATTAGATTTGGTAACTGAAATGAACTTAATGTAAGCATCACTTTGGAGTACAGAATTTTGTCAACCAGAAGAGAAAGGCTTTCTTGAAATACAGAGACTGAGTTTTGCTTTAGTACAAAGGATTATTTATTGTCCACCAAAGGTAATGAAGATAGTTTACATTCTCCAAAAGCACAATTGCTATTTGTAAAGTAAGGCTCTTTGTCTTTGTTCTGGGTGTAGGGGTCAGGCTCCTTCTGAAGCTGAGCTAAACTACTTAAGGACTGCCAAATCCCTGGAGATGTATGGCGTTGACCTCCATCCTGTCTATGTGAGTAGCATTTAATTAACACAAAATATTTTAAGCTGGTGACATTTTTCTTAAGTCACTGAAACTCGCAAAGGAAAGCTGCATTCCTCTTTCTGAGTAAATAGATGACGCTTTTTCATTGGTGTTTTTTGAGCACGAAGCGGCTCTTATATGGATTACATCCTAATGAGCGTTTCATAGAAGTCTGTGATAGTATTTCCATGTGTAGAAAACAATTAACTGGGCTTGAAAATACAATCTGGGTAACAGCTCCAAAGGGCTTAGCTAAACGTCAGAACAATTTAAAATTGGTTTATAATGGATCACATTAGACAGAAAACAAGAGGATTTTCCAAAAAGAATTTTTTTTTTGGCTGAAAAAAATGGCTGAAAACCTAAGTTAACTTGCCAGATAGAGCAGACGTTAGGCAGTAGTCCAGGCGCGGTGATACGCAGCTCTGTGTTGGACAAGCAGGTTGTCGGTAGAAGGGTTACCAGCAACCGCAGCCTTCACTGTGATAGAAGAGTTTTCACAGATTCTCTTTGGTGGCTGATGAAATCTTGCCAAACAGAATCAGTGAACAGTTACACTGAATCTTCTCTTGAGTGCTCTGGATCTAGATCTTAGCTTTTGAGTCATTTTTCTTAGGCCACCAATTGATGATTCTGTGCCAGTGACATTACAGTGCTGTTGCATTTGATTTTCTAAGAGTGTAGTTAGCAGTAGTCACATTTGTGTATTTGAGAAAATGAGCCAAGTGACTTAGGGCTTTTAGGAGATGAACTGCTAGAGAGTGTATATGGATCTCTTGCCAGCGGAATCAGGGAACTCAGTTTTGAAGGAATGCTGATAAAACTTTCTCTACTGTGAATGACTCACTCATGCATTCATTTTGTAACATGCCTTTTGCTTTTCAGACTTTTCTGAAACAAGAAACATTATGATATTATTTCTGAGAATTAGAAGCATCCCTATGAATGTAGTTGTAAAAATTTAGATTTGGAGAGAAGTAGTAGTTTCTTAATAAATAGATTCCAATCTCATTAAGTCACTAGATGCTTTTTACTACTGTCCTTTAAGAAGCCACTAAACCAGCCAGGGACATAGCCCAGTAGAATAAGCACTTGCCTGGCAAGTACAAGGTCCTGAGTTCAATCCATGGTACTGAAAAAAAAAAAAAAAAGAAACCACTAAACCTTTAGCATAATTATCTTTTTTCCTCTTAGCCATGTTAATTGTGTTAGATTTTCAGGTTTAAAAGATATTCTATAGGAAACTTATAGATAGAACCTTCTGTGAGATGTTTTCACTTCTGTTATAATTCATAGCTTTTAGTTGTTCATGGGAATTTACTAGAAGTGAGGTAAATTTGTTAGAATCTTCCACACATTTCTTTAATATTGAATTTCTAGAGCTAGAAGTGGTCAACAGCTGCAGATCTTCCAAAATAGTTGTTCTACGTCCTTGTGAATATCACTTTGCAGGCTGCTGGACTGCTCTGGGTATGTTCTTGGTACTCTGTCACTTTTTTACTTCAGGATCCCATTTTCTTAGTTTAGGTTTTTCATTGCCTTGAAATAAGGGTTCTCCAGTCTTTACTAGAAGTGGCTGCATCTTTAAATTTTGTGATAGCTTAAAGTTACAACAGGAAGAAGGAAGGAACATGTTAGATTTCAGAAAATTCAATTGTGTGTCTGTTGGCAGCTGCCCAAGCATTCTGAGGAGGGTTGTGGTGGAGCTGACCTCGGCATTTTGATTATCCACGGCAGGGAGGCCTAGGAAAGCACCTTGGATAGAAACAGGTGGTTCTCACGTCTTGGCTACACAGGAAGAGCACTTGGACTCCTTGTGTGTTTCTGATACTCAGACCTTCTCACGAGATTCTGATTGAACTGGTTTCTGTAGCCCTCACCCGTCAGCAATTTTAAGTTTCTTGGGTGACTGCAGTTAATATGCAGTTAGGGTGAAGCTAGGCGCCACTGTTGAAGCAGTTTTGAGTAAATCAATCAGAAGTCAAATTGGTAATCTAGGTACCTTTCAATGAATGTAAGGTGCAAGTGTGAATTAACATGAGATAGACAGATTCTCTTGAGACTTGGGAAAAATTAAGCCTGAACTTAGCTACGATCAGGGCTTGGCTAGCTCTTTATGCTCATGTCTTCCAATAAACTAAGTTCGATGCTGTTACACCATATTACTGTCTATTTACAGGACCAATTATAGTTTTATAAACAGCTTTTATGTGAATCAATTCATGGATTTAGGTATGTGTTTATTTTTGCAGGGAGAAAACAAGTCTGAATACTTCTTAGGATTAACTCCAGTTGGTGTTGTTGTCTACAAGAATAAAAAACAAGTGGGGAAGTATTTCTGGTAGGTATAATTGGAGGACATGGTTGGTATTAAAGTTATACACTGTGAGCATTAGATTTTAGGGAGCGCGTGTGTCACTGAAAGGTTTAAGGAAAACACACATTTTAAATAGTTGGCAAATGTTTGCGAGTATGCCCCAGTGCACCTTTGTATGTATTTTCTCCGGCAGTTGTGGTGGTGCTGTGGCTCTGGACCTCCTTGTCAGTGCAAACTGTAGAAGAGTCTCTCTCTCTGCCTCTCTCTCTCTCCCTCTTCCTCTCCCTCTCCCTCCCTCCCCCTTCTTTCTCTTTTTTTATTCCTTCCCTCCCTCCCTCCATCCCTCCCTCCCTCCCTTTTTCTTCTTTTTTTTTGCATTTAGCGCAGGGTCTATAGGGTCTCACCACAAAGATCAGACTTGTAGTGATCCGCCTGTTTTCGGCCTCCTAAGTGCTTGGTCCTGTTTACGTCAGGGATGGTGGCACTGTTGGGACTTGGGGATTCCAAGCTTTTTACGCAGTTAGCGAAGAATCACCAAAGAAGGAGAATTATGTCCAGGGAACTAATTAGCCACTGCAGCAGCATTAAAAATAGCCTGTATTAACCAATCTTTTTTCACGGGGGACTTCTCTGAATTTCTGAAAGATTAATTCTAAAAGACAGCACTACCTGCTTTGTTTTTTCAGGCCTCGAATTACGAAGGTTCATTTCAAGGAGACTCAATTTGAACTCAGAGTACTGGGAAAAGATGTAAGTTTTTGTAAGCACTTAGCCTAAAGTGTCTCTGTGATAGCTCAAAGACATTGTGATAAAACTGTCACATTTTTGTGGCTGTAGCCTCATGGAACCAGGCTAATTAACTCATGGGCACAAATTCTCTAGGAAGGAAAAGGGAAATGAGTAGAAATGAATGAGATGGTAACAGGAAGATGCCATTTTGGTTTAAGCAAAGGAAAGCAAAACCTTTCTAGGGCAGTGGAGAGAATAGGAGGTGATTATTATTGTTACTGTAATTTGCTTTTCAGCACTGGCTGTGAGGGTAGGAGTCACAGGCCCTGAAAGGTATAACCTGCATACTGCAAAAACAGGTCCTAATTTTGCTCTGAAGTTAAATGACCCGTTGAAAGTTACACTTTTGCTGTTTCCTTTGTGAACCTTGATAGACTAACTGAAGTTCTGGCCTCTTGCAGAGGAGGATGGAGGGCGAGGGGGCTGAAATGCTGCCCGGTGCAGCCTCCTGGCAGCAGCGGGGTATTTGTCAGAGCCTGACTGCGTCTTCATGCCTTGACAGGCAGCTTTCAGGAAACTGGTTAGAAAAGGCCACGATGTGGAGGCTTCCTTTTGATCTGCTGTGAAAATAATGCTACCTTGAAGTGTTATTAGGATGGTTCTTACAGGATGAATTAGTGAAAATGCGATGTAGGAGAGTCAGTTCTTTTTCTTTGATACTAACTTTATGTTGAACAAAAACTAAATGTGAATGAGATTGAATGACTTTCTTGGTGTTATAAAGGCTGAAGTAGGAATTGGTGCTTATATGTGTGCTGTGGGAATGCAGGAACAGTGAGGCTGCCACTGGGGTAAAAACATGGTTGTTTGGGAGAGCACCTTAGAAGAAGTAGGTTTTCGGTACATAGTGGTCAGTGGCATGATTGCTGAGAATATGAACTCTTAAATCAGAAGTCTAGGTGCTACTGTTTGTTCTTCTTCTAGACAAGGAATCCCACCCTGAGCTATAAGGCATGCTTGCTTTTATTGGTAAAGTTGAACTTGTGTTTTGAAATGGAACTTGGAAGGAAGGAAAATTCCAGATTTTCTTTCTTTTTTATTTTTTTATTTTTTTATTTTTATGGAATGGGGGATTGAACTCAGGCCCTTGCACTTGCCAGGGAAGCACTATATTCCACTGATCCATCTCCCCGGCCCGAAAATTCCAGATTTTAAAGAAATGAAAGTCCAAGAAGTCTTAGCAGATCTTAAATGATATGGTTTGGAGAAAATTGACTGTGTTGTTCAGTTCCTTATTAGACTTGTCAACCTTAAAAGATGTACAAATGTAAAAATGAATTAAAATGATTTAGAAGGTAGGGTTTTATTGTTCTTTCCCTACCCTTGAGTTCATATGACATACGTAGTAATGCAAGGAATAAAGTCTGGTAAACATACTGAAACTAATGAATGCTTCAAGTTCTTTTTTTTAAAAAGCAGAATATGATAAAATAAGACTTTCCATAGAAGCGTAACTGTTATTCAGAGTATTCTTTACCCTTGTAACCAAGTTGTTTTGGTGAGTGCGGCCCTTTGAGGAGTGACTTTTGTGTCATTTGCGTAGTGCTTTCAGATATATTCTACTGGTTCAGGATAAATTCTTGGTAAAGTCACAGCTAACCTAGACTTCTTCATCGTAAGGCAAAACCATCACCAGCAACAATAACTGTCATTTTGCTATTTTTGGTTGGCAGCCTGCACGGCACCGCCTGGTGTCCTAGGGACTTTGCACAGTCCCTGTCCCTCTCTTTGGGAGGGAATGGATGTGTGGAGAAGCTGGAAGCTCCACACTCTGCTAGGTCGTTGGCATCAGTGATCCTCAATAGGGTGGCAAAGCAGGTCACTGGATGCTTGGGCTGGAATCAAAGGGATTTTTAAAATTGTTATTAATAGCACATTAACTTAACCTAAGCATTCTATTTCCTGAGTGTTTTTGCTTGAAGGGCATTTTTCCCCCTTTCTCCACCAGGGCAACTCTGTGAGGCAGTGATTTACATAATTGTGGAATTAAGTTGATTATTACGGAGGCCCAACTGTAATCACAGATTGAATTAAAAAGCTCCTTAAAACCCATCACCTGGAACAGGAATCACATTCATCTTGAAAAATGGTTGAAATGGTTATTGTGCTGGTTTTCTGCTCTGCTGCTCTGGTCAAAGAGACTTAACTCAGTGTGTTCAAGAATTTTTAGGCCAAACTTAGACTTTCTTGCATAATTTAAACTTCCAAATAGGTATTGTAGTTTTTAAATAACACCTCAGGGAAAATAGCCTTTGATATAAAGATTTAACCTGATGTTGGCAGAAGAGTATTTTCTATAAGAAAATTAATATTTCTTATTGTACTAAAATTCAGAAGTGATTATTAATATTTTCATACACTTGTTTTCAGATTTTGACCCATTAATGTGGGTGTATAAAATATACACATATATAGATCATCCACTGTGTAAGGTTTCTTTTTTTTTTTTTTTTTTTGCGGAACCGGGGATTGAACTCAGACCCTTGCGCTTGCCAGGGAAGCTCTTATTCCACTGAGCCATCTCCCCGGCCCCACTGTGTAAATTTTGAACATGCTTTTAGACTTAATATTATAAGGATTGTTCTTCCTTTTATTATATTTATCCAGATATGGCTACTTGGTGTTCAAGTTTTGTTTTTATTTTTTTTCCTGCTGTTATGGGTGTACTTTTTTCTTCCTATTATATTTTCTAACTGTTGTTTTGCTAGGAGACATGAAAGCTGCTGAATTTTATGTTTACTTCAGATCTGACCATGTTGTCCAATTATTTGAATTTTTTTTTATTATATGCTTGCAATACATGGTGATTACAGTCAGGAACAGGAAGCGTGCAGCTCCTAGCACTCACATGTCATGGAGGTGACTTCTTTTATTTATCTTGAAACTAACTTTGGCTAAACTTACTCAGCACGACAGGATGTAGGACAGATAGGATCCTGGCAGGCTATGGGCAATTAGACCCACGGAAGGAATTTGGAGCCTGCTGTGGAGTGAGGACAGGGGAAGTGAAAGTGGCCAGGAGCTGCCACTGTTTGTCAACAAGCCCAAGAGGCCTATTTAGATAGGCCTATTTAGATAGGCGTTCCTTTATATTTTTGATGGCATCTCATAGATTTATATATGAAATATTAAAAAAAAGAAAATTCCAAATTTACAGAGTGTAAAATTAAAATATTACAAAGAACATGTTCATCTACTGTTACAAATACAGATTTGTATTTTATTCCATTTCCTTAATATTTGTACTTTTCTCTCCTCTCACATGATTCTTTTCTGAAAAATGTGAAGGAACGCTACATATGTCACAGACTCTAAAGATTTCAGGGCATAGCCCCAGTGAAGTTATCATCTTAGTAGATTTATGTTGATGTTGTGCACTTGTCATCGCTTCTATACACCAGTGTCGCTGGCTTACCTAGTGGTATCTTTCGTGGCATTTTCCCCAGGAGCATAGTGTACAGTCAGACTCCTTTCATCTGGAACATTTTCATAGCATTTCTTTGTCTTTTATGACATTGCCTTTTTCAAAGAATGTAGTTGTACCCTGTCATTTTAAAATAGGAAATGTCTCATTTTGTGTTTTTCTGCCATTTCTTTGTGATTGGGCTGGCTTTATGCATCCCCAGCAATAAAACTGCATCAGGGAAGTTGTGTTTGTCTCGGCGTGTCACATCAGGAGGCACGTGATGGCCAGTTAACCCTCATTGGTTGCTAAGTTTGATCACCTGGCCCTGTATTGCCTGGTCTGTATAATTTTTGGTTTGTGTCTTTTTTTCCCCTTAAAGGTAGGAAGGGTCAGTAGTGAGATATATACATTAAAACAATGAAAATGCTTCTCTTCAAAATACCTGATGAAGTTAGCATTTACTGAGGATTTTTGTCTGATCCAGTCTTTGTTTAAAAAAATCTCTTATTTATTTTGCATAGGATCTTACTACACATCTCAGACTTACAGTGATCCTCCTGTCTCAGCCTCCCCAGTGTTGGGATTACAGGCATGTGCCACCACGCCTGGTTTCTGTGGCTGGCTTGGCATGCCTAGGGCTCCAGGGTCCCTGTGACACATGGTATTGGGATTGAACCTAGGTCCTTGGGCTTGCCACACAGGCATTTAGACCACCAAGCAATCTCTGCAGCCCTGATTCCGTATTTTACAGTGAAAATTGCAAAATTCTGGATTTATCAGCCACATTTATCAGCCTTCAGCTCTAAGCAAGACCCCCTTTTCTGTTCTTTTGATTTATTAGTCTGTTAGTGACATAAATTTATTAATCTTTGTTTTTCATTGGTTTATATTACTGTTTCTACTATTTTAATGTTCAGATTGTCTTAGATGTAATTAATAAGAGCCCCTTCGCTCTGATACCGTGTGCCCTTTGAACTTCTCCCATCAGTCTTTGGGTACTTTATTCCCTTTTGTTATAAAGTGATGTTTCAGGAGAATTTTATATCTGTCCCACTACTACCCCACCACCAGTTATTTCTCCAGGGAGTTCTGCTTTCAGTGCAAATATGGTCAAGATCTGGTGTTAGCTGTGGTTGTTGTACTGGCATTGCCTTGCTCCTTGATATTTTCAGAGCAGAAGAATCTATGCATGCATAATACACATGATTCATACACATGTGCGCATAAGCATACACAGAAACCATGCCTTCTACCCACAGGGTGGAGGGTCTTCATAGCCTTCCTCTATTTCACATTTGTATCCTTTCTTTGTCTATGAGAACCTTGGCTTCTAGCAGTGCATTTACTCATTTTCTCTCTTCTAAAATACATATCAAATAGTTTCAGAATTGCTTTGGCCAAACCACGAAAATTGTTTGCAGTTTTTTCCTCACCCACATACACTACCTCGCCAAGACAGGGCTTGTGCTGTGCTGTGTTCAGAATCTACTTGGATCGGTCCCCTCCCTCTCTTCATTCCTTTCTTCCTTCTTCATTACTGTGGCTAGGTATTCAC